ATTGCATCTGGGTGATGTAGCGTTTCCACCACAGGTATGGCTGCATTTGGGGCCCGAATGAGGCCAATGCATAGTACGAGTACATCACCACATGGATGGCAGTGTTGAACAGACCGAACAGCCCTATGATAGGGGCCAACGGATTAATCTTCATTGAGAACCAACCTTTATATCAGGGAAAGGGATGAAGGAATAGATTATTATTATTTAATTTTAAGTTTCCAAACTGTACTGATATGTTTAAAACTTTTACAGATTTTTATTATGTTTGCTGATGTGAAATTGTTTTTAAATTATTATGTTTAATTATTATTGTAGTAAAATTATGTTTAAACTACCGGTAAAATGTTTTTAATATATCCATTAATTAGAGTCTAATTATTAGACTATACCTAAGAATGGGACAGCCGTGTGATGGTAGACATGGAGGAACGTTATCTGATTGTTCTTCTTCCGCAGCACGAAGAACATGGTGTCGACCATATCGAGAAAGCGGGACATCCAGCCCCACCAGCCCAGGTTCAGCTCCCATAGGGTTTTGGCGCTGAAGTCGTGTCTGTCCGGGTACTGGAAGTTCAGGAAACGGCGCCCGTATTCCAGGTTTTGCACGATTAGGAAGAAAAAGTAGGCATTTATGGCCACCATTAAGCTGTTGAACGCTAATATCGGCCCCCGGAGGACATAGGGCTTACGGTTTCTCATGAACTCCGGTAAGATTTTTTTGATAAGCAATAGGTAACACGACATTATCAGTAAGATTTTCCATATTCCACCCTCCACCTATTTTACAATTAAGATATTGCAAAATTCATAAAATGTAAATTAATAACTTTAAATTATCAAGTTTTATATAGTATCTGGATTTTAAAATACAATATTTTAAAATACAATAATTGTCTACCAATACAGGAGTCTCCTTAACATACAAGCCTAAAACTATTAGCTATAACATTTTGAAAATAAAATTTTGACTGAATTAAAAATAATTTGAATATTATTAACAAACCAATGGGAAGTGTTTAGTGCGGGGGTCGGCGGCGTCTATCCAATACTGGTGCGAATAATAATCAATTGTGTCCACAGTTTGGGCACTAAATGTGACCAAATTATTCACAAAAGATGATATTGTGGACATTTTTCACACCAATACTACACTACTTTAAAACTCACAAATTCATTTATAAATATGATTCAAGTCAGAGTAAATACAGTATAAGCATAACACAATAGCAGTAAAATTGAATTTTTAGCCAAGTATCCATTTATTAATTTAAATGATTATAATTGAAGGATTTTTATTATAAATATGATTTTTTGTTGTGTCCACACAAAAGTGAAATTAAATATTTTCCAATCCTTGGCTATAATTTGGTTACGTTTTTAGGTCAGACACCGTTAAATAATTGTATAAATAATTTTCATTTAATAAGTATATTAAAAGTGATGTTACTTTGCCATGCACAATATAAACACAATTAATAAAAAGTTTTCTGAGCAAATATTTAAAAATATTTATATTTAATTAAATAATAATCATATGATTTATATGCTTTCAACTAAACACAATGAAGTATTTATTCACATAAAAACTTTTGCAAAAATATTTTTCACAGAATAGAAAAATGACAAAAACTTTTCAATGTTTCACAATTATGTTAGAAAATTATTAAAAACTTTTTACGTCAAATAATTAGCAAAAGTGAAAATAGTGATTATTTTTTACAATAATCATTATCGTTGTCGAGTCCATACATGTTGTGAATGGTGTACACATTATTTGGGAAATGCATGCAAACGCGGCAGTCATTCACCTGTTAAACAACTTTTCTCTCATCGATATGTTTAATAGTTTTTGTTTTTTTATTATTATTTAAGGAGAGAGAGAGAGAGAGAGAGAGAGAGAATGGGGTCAACAGGTTTTCTAATAAATAATACATTTCATCAAGTAATATGTAAATTAATTTTATTTTAATACGATTATATCTTATTATTATATTTCAAATTTATTATTATAATTCAAAATAAAATTGTTTTAAATATAAATTTATTAATAAATTAATATTGTATTTTAAACATTGTTATATTTAAGAACAGAAAATGCAATTGTAATTTGTATTTAATATAATTTACATACTATGGTGACCCCCACCTACTCCATATCCCAATGCATATAAATTGATACATAAGTGGAAGTTGTAGTACATGTTCACACAGGTAGGTTAGGACAGTCTGTTGATAATCATATTAGTGTTTTAGTAGGTTATTATGTAATGCCAGTGCGGATGTCAAATAGCAGCCCGTTTTTGATTAGCCCTGATATTCATAAAATGAACCCAATTTTTATTACTTTCACTCGTGATTTTTATTACTAACCCCGAAAAGGGGGTTAATAGTGGGCCGGCATCTGATGGCTGCGGAAAATAATTGTTTTATTTATTCCGGTGTTTATTTATCTGAGAAATATTAGCCAACAAAGTGAAATAATTTGTTATTAGTTATCAATGATATGATAAGTGAATTTGAAAAACTGATAAATTAATAATTTTTAGTTAATTATGTAGGTTAAGTTACGTACAATGTATACCAAAATATATTTTATTAAAAATCTAATTCAGAATTTTCTATGCATATCACTAAATAATAAACGTGTAGAAAATTAAATTAATTTTTTTATTTTATTAATTTTAAATTGACATGCTATATGAAAATATAAAATCAATTGTATTTATACTGCCTTACATGCTAATATTTTAGTTAAATTAATATAACTGGTTTAAAATATATTAAAATAATTTACATTTCGTATTATTTAACTTTTTAAATCCTTTATGACAAGTTATGTTAACAAGCTTATTGATAATTTTTAATTTATTCTTACAATACAATAAAATATTATTTAAATTTTAATACAATATATTTTGCTACAAAAAAAATAAATTTATATATTTTAACTTATGCAATAAATAAGGAAATAGTAATAATGAAAATGTATACTGAATACTTTTAAAAACAAATTCACAATTTAAATAGTATATTAATTTTTAATTTAAAATATTTAGTTTATATTTATGTGTTTAATGCATACTAAAATATTTTATCTCATTATGTCAAAAGAAATACTTTTCATTTCAATTAGAGGTTAGTGTTTTGGGTTAACACACATTTTCATATCGATATGCCAAACATGCCATGGCACAGGTATCCTGTATCTAAGTTAATATAACTTTAGGGAAATGTTTGTTTTCAGGCAATTTGTTTGACTAAATAATGAAAGTGAGAAACTTTTTCTTATATATTATGATTTATGTAATAAAAATATTTTAATTAATTTTATTAACTGTTAAAACTTTATAAAATACTCAATAGATTGCATTACTTTACGTTATATCAATCATATTACAGTAGTTTCAATTTTATTTTATTAAATTATTATTTAAATAAATAATTTTAACTGATTTTAAAAATTATGATAATGGTAAACGCTATGACAAGTGAATTATTTTAATTAGTTGAAAATACTGTATGATCATTCTACCATGATAACTAAAATTCTAAAATTATTATTTAATTAATATTTATTTATTTTGTCAAAGGTAGCATAGATTGATAATTTTTTTAAAATACTGTATAAGTTTAGGTTATTATTTTTCAAACATCTAAACATACTTTCATTCATAGTATAGATAACTAATTGCTGATCTTCTTAAAATTTTATCAATTATATATTATTTTAACCCAATTTTTAAATAAACAAAAGGTTACTGGGTACATCCTATTGCTATCAATGTGTAAACATAAGCATTAAATTTATTTCAAGTATTAAAAACAATATTGTGCAATACACTTTTATTTTCATGTTATTATTTATCAGTCAATCATATGATATGCATGTGATTCGTATAAGTTTAGTAATTTCATCCAGTTATCATTTTAGATCTAAAAACTATTGACTTGTTTTAATTTGTTTTGATGTTATTAGATGTAATTGTAAATGAACCTTGTTCATAAATTTACATAATTAATAAATATGATGACTAAATAAAGTTTATCGGCTAGAACAAGTATAGAATTAAATATATCAAATAATTTAATTAGAATAATTAAAATGTTTATTCTAAATGAATTTAATTTTATGTGGACATTGACTTAACATGCTTACGTTGCATAATTATTTTAAACAAAACTTATAAATGTTTAGAAATGATTTTGAAAATAACAGACAAACACTGTGTATAAAGTTTATACTATAAACTCTGCAACCAAGTTCATCATGAAATCTGTGTACCCTATGCTCCGTATGTTTGTATAAATATCATTGTGAATTATCTAGATAATTAAAATAAATATTAATATAAGCTAATTCCATTACGGAATTATTTTTAGCTAAATAATTACTGTTTGAGATATATTCTGGAAATATATGGTTCATTCTGGAAACTTATAATTGCTAACCAACTAATCAACAAGGTTATTGAGTATTATTTGTATTTAGGGCCCCTATCAGCACATGTATGCCATCACACTATAATAGATCATCATTGTAGCCATGGATGATATTAATGATAATTTTGTAAATTAATAGTCACTAAACAAACTCATAAAATAAGATAAGTGTTTGAAGTATGAAAGCATGAGTTCAAGAATCAAAGGCCACACACTTTATCACAAATATTTGTCATATAAATACAATTTGATTTAAAAATAGGCTTAAATAGACTTTTTAAACAGCTATTCGCTCTAATTGACTATTATTATTACTTAATAAATTAAGAATAATTAATTTAAAATTATTGTTATGTTTAATGTTTATCCACTATCATAATAAAATTTTAAAAAAGTTTTAAAGTTTTTTAAAGAGTTTAAAGTCTTTAATAAATACACAATCCAGTAGTTCATTAAAATGCAATCAGTTAATTTATTGATAACATTAAAGTAAATTATAATCAACAGATAATAATTTTTCACTATATTTCAAAAGTCTCTGAAAAATTAATATTTAACTAAATATTTATAATATACGTCAAACACTTCATAGTCAAATGAAAACTTAAATTCAGATGAAATGATTTCATATAAATTGTGAAATCTATTTTCATCGGATGTTCATTATAAATATGACCACAACAATATATAAACAGTGAACCATATTGTCATAAAAACATTTATTAAACATAATAACATCATTAACTACAAAGCCTAATAGCCATATTAAAAGCATTTGAAAATATAATTTATTTAAACAGTGTATTAAATAATAGAAAAGTTCATTAAAATGGGTAACAAGGAGAATAATGTACCTTCGGGTGGACAGGTAGCTAACGAATTGGTAGAGCAATTGAGACACAAATTCCTGGACTCACTGGCCAGGGATGGCCAGGACTACGACCCGCGGGACGTGGAGATAATCCGCACCGACGACTACTCCATCCGCCGGTTCCTCACCTCTAATAACATGAATGCGAGTCAAGCCTATAGTCAGTTACAGGAGACGATGCGGTGGCGGAAGGAGTTCCCCGTCCAGAGGGACTACAGCCAGTGCGGGGTTGAGGTGTTCCGCACCGGAGCAATGTTTATATTTGAAAATGACAGGGAGGGTAGGCCTGTGCTCTATGCCAGGGTCAGGACTCATGTAAAGATTCAGGAGCTGGAACGTCTGGTTGAGGTACTGTATCCATGCTTTTAGTTATTGAATATAAATTATATTTTAATATTTGACTTTAGAAACTGTAATTTATAAATAGGTGAACATTTGATGCATTAATTATATTAATCAAATTTAGTTATTTTCGATATTAGGCGCCTTGATGAATTTTTATTTAACTAAATTTGAAACAAGATTTTAAAAAAATAATTACTTTATATTTAATGGGTCATTCAACATGATTATTTACATTCTTAATTATATAGTTAAATAGTTTTTGCTAATTAATGTGAATTAAAATTATAATTGAATATTAATTAAATTAAATCTAAACTATATATTCATACAAATAGGAGGTAATTGTGACCACATTTGAGAAGTTGGACCAAATCGCCGGCGAAAAGGGGTTTACGGTAGTGATGGACGTGTCGGGCGCCGGCCTATCAAACGTAGACATGCGGGCCGTCAAGTTCATGATCACTGTTATGCGCAAATATTACCCCGAGTCACTCAAATGTGTGCTCGTGGTCAATCTACCCATATTTCTGCGCACATTTATGCCTATCGTACGTATACTGTTAGGCAGCAAATACTCGGAAATGTTGCACACGGTGTCCGATGCCCAGGATCTATTTAACTACATTCACCCTGATAATGTGCCAAAGTATTTGGGTATGTATATAATTTTAATTAATAATTTTATAGCTTATTTGACTAATGTTTGTGTGACTGGTCCTGAACATAGGAGGTAATAATTGCCACGACTTTACACAACCGCCCGCTGAATGTCATTATAAAACCGAGGAGTTGTCGCACTTGTATGGGCTCAGCCCTACCGTCGTCCGGAAAGCCATCCAAAAGTTTGAGCCCCATATAAACGACGCTAAAAAGTTGCTGTTTAAGTCCATTGATTTAAACGCCAATTGATAAAATATTTTAATTAAAATAACAAAAACACATTTAAACATAGGATAGTTGGCACGTAAATCCTCTTATCATTGAAAAACATTTTTATAAACATAATCTATTTTGCAAAATATATTTATAATTACTATATTCTGTCCATTAAACACTTTATTTGATAACTATGTACAATTCAATAAAAATATTTATTCAGTAATTCAATTAATTTTTCAATTAATTTTATAAGTATAAAATAAGTAAATGTTTAATAATTTAAACTAATTAAACATTCTGATAGAAAATTGTAGAAAAAGTAATTCTCCATTAATTGAAGTTTATTTAATGTGGTCTCAAATTCTGGGTCATTAACCAGAATATTCTGACCGATAGTCCATTTGTCATATTCTACTAAAACTTCACTGCATTTCGGTCTTTGAGTCCAATCTGTCTTAACCATTGTGCTTAACATTTCGTGTAAGTTTGATAAAGGTGCTTTTAACACACCCAACTGTGCATTAAGTTGCGAACTATATTACAAATAAAATAAAAGATTATTATAATTTATTTAAAACATGTATAATAATAATTACTTCACTGAATCCACTGAATTTAAGTTGATATCAAATATTTCTGCTCCAATTATAGCCAGACTATAGATATCTGATTCGGGGTAATGTTTTCCCTCTATAACTACTTCCGGTGCCATATATTTCTCATTTCTTACATCTGATATATTTCCACAAAAATTATTATAATTTTGGTCATTAACTTCAGTCAACCCAAAACCACACAACTTAATAAATTTATTGTTTGTGATATTGTGAGGAATTAATATGTTTTCAGGTCTGAGGTCTCTGTGAATGATCTGTGGATCCGATTCATGTAAATACTGAACGCATTCTAACAATTGTCTGAATATTTCGCACGATATGTAGTATTCATATAAATTCATGGCTTCTCCCGATTGTCGCCCAAATGCTTGCGACTGAACGCATTCTAACAATTGTCTGAATATTTCGCACGATATGTAGTATTCATATAAATTCATGGCTTCACCAGATTGTCGCCTAAATACTTCAGGTTTGACGACCAGAATATTCCGGAGACTATCGGAAACCAAATCCATTTGAATGTAGAAACGGTTCGTTTCGTGCCATGACTTGTAATACTGGACCACATATTCTGCACTCACTTTTAGTTTATTAAGGGATTTGTCCAGAATTTCAATTTCTACTAATGCTTGAAAGTTTTAAAACAAAAATATTTTAATTACAAAATTATTGATAATACTTGAAATTAATAATAATAATATAATTACCAGTATCCTCTACTTTTTTAACACTGTAAAACTTTTCATCAAGTTTATGTATCACACATGATACTGCACCAAAATGACCATGATCAATGACTGTCAGCTCATCAAAACTAATGTTATAATAGTTTTCCCGATTATATGGATGTAGCGACTTATACGTCAAATCATATTCTTCGGCATAAAATTGAATACAATTCTCAAAATCAGTTTCAATGACTTCATTGGATTCGCAAATCTTATAGATTTTATCACTTATTAAAACTGTAATGAATTTGAAGCCCATATATGCGTGCATTTGTCGCACATTTTCAATACCCACTATAAGTTTCGGAACTTTTTGACTCGTATTGTGATATTTGCCACAAAAATACACGAACCCATCGTTTGTCATGAAAAATGTCATATATTTTGACGAAACAATTGTATTGACATTATTTAGGTTTTCAATGAGTTGTGGCTCTCGTATTGAGTTATCACTACATCCCAGCCTATAGTCCTCGTTATGACCCCAACTATATACCTGTCCATCGAAATTGATGGCAAATGAGCACAAATATGTGCAATAAATGTGCGATATATAGTCATTAAACAAATCCAGTTTCATAGGCCCACAGTAAGCCTCCCTGAGTGGACCCCATACCTGTCCCTCGCTATTCCGACCCCAACCGTATACCTGTCCATCTGATGAGAGGATCAGACAGTGGTTGAGACCGCAACTGATTTCCAAGATATCCTTGTCGTCAAAAAATGCTAACTTTTGGGGTTTTATATAGACATCGGTCTCGGGTGTAGTTACGCCTAACTGTCCCCAACTATTTTGGCCCCAAATATATATGTGGTTTTCAGCGGTGACTGCCAACACAAATGAGAAGCCATTAATAAATCGCTGAATCCTTTGGTGACATAATTGTGGTATAATTTGTGGTGATGTCACCATATGGTTGTGTCCTAAGCCCAGACACCCGTAATAGTTATATCCCAAACCATACACCAAGTCATCGCTTGTGACATACAATACATTACTTTCGTAATCAGTTTCAAATACATGAAATAGGATTATGTTTTGTTTAATGTTGTCAGATATGGTGTTACAAATACTAAATTCATCCAGGTAGGAACACATTTTAAATAGTGTTACTTCATATTAATTAATAATAATTTCGTGCTAAATATTAAAATGGAGTTAAATATGTAATAACTTCACAAATTAATGATTCATTCATTTGTTGGGTTTTGTTATGTAATTACATAGCATTTGATTGTAATATTAGTGAACAAATAATGAAATACACTCTAGGATGTCCTGTTTATTGAAATTAATATTTTAATTTATTGTATTTGCTTAGATAAGTACAAAGTCATTCAAAGTATGATTCATATAATGATATGTAACTATGCATTTCAATCCTACATGAATATAATATTACTGATATAAAACATTTAAGATTAGTTTACTATAAAAAATTATACTTTAATAAAATAATTTTTATTATTGTAATACAAACATGAATATCAATTTCCCATGCAATACTTTTGATTACATTTTTAATTTAAGCAAATATTAGATTTATCACATTATACTAGTATATACTAGTAGTATAAATATTTTTTTTAAATATTTCAAAAGCATAACTGAGAAGGTGATATTTGAAAAGGTGCTTTAATTTATTATTTAAATATTGCTTTTGTGTAATGTTTGAATGTAATCAGTTTATAGTATTTCAAACATTATTAATATGTATTATTATATGCATTATTAATATGCAGAAAAAACATAATATTATGAATATCTATAAACACAAATAAATTTTTACATAATATATTACTCTGTAATATTATATATTATTTTTAAAAATTCTTACATTTTGAATACAGTTTGGATTTTCAATTAAACTAGTAAAATTTCTGACCATTTAAATAATTAAATGTTAACGAATTACAAATAATCATATATTTAATTAATATTTATTTGTTTTAATTATGCGATTAGTTTTAATTAATAAACATAATTATCATATTAAAGAAACAACAATTGTCATAATAAGTTTTGAATAATATAAAGTATAACATATTAGTACAAATAAATTATTATTTTTAATTGATTAACATTTGTTATCCCTATTGAATTCTAGCCCTCCATTTGAGCGCATAGTAGGCCAACCATCTAAGAGTGACCGTATATGCGATGAATAGACTGATATAGATGTAGAGATCCCTGTCCTGTAGGTCGAACCACTCCAATATCCGCGAGGGGTTCTGTTTGGCCACCAGTCGGCTGATGCCGGACAGGCTATTACGGGTCACATTCGCCAGATTGTCCGCCCCTTCCAGACACTCCTCCATGTGATACATATTGACCCCAAACTCATGGGTCAGTGAATCCATGGTTAGGGGGTCATTAAGAGTGGGACATCGGTTAAAGCCGTACAGTATTATTAACATTGATTCGTATGTTAGTCTGTGGTTTGTATGAATAATTAAAGAATTAATTTACGGTATGTGAAAAGCTATTACACGAGGGATACCTGAAAATAGACAAATAGGATAATGTCTGCAAATATGATGGCAATATCCGGACGGGTATGAGTGAACCACTGAATAACAGGAGTGCCGTTACGATTGTCGTTAAGGACAGTATACTGGCCCGGATATCATTCATGAATATTGCCGACAGTAGTAGTCCGAGGCTGTGAGAGACCAGTGCCAAGAGTATCATGACTAATTGGTGTACACTGAATCGCCACCCGTCCCATACCTGATCAGTCATCCACCACATGATTGTAGCGTATATTACACTTATGACCAAAACTAATGGGATGTCTACGAGGGAACGGGCTGTGAAATATGACCAACATGTGTACCATTTGTTGAAATGTTCCTGTTAAATAGTTAGTAAATCAGCAAATTGTAATTTAATATTAATTAAAAATATTAATATCTCAAATACCTTGACAAATGTGTTCAACTCGATGGGGAACGTCATGAGTGTGGGCACGATAGCATTAAAGTGTATGAACAGCATTGTACTAACAATATAGCCTACATCGCTTAAATTGTTAAATGTTTCATTTGTTGTACTCTTATTATCCACTATTGACATAATCTTAACCATTACTGACTCCGAGTTCAAACACGCTGTATCTAACTGTCCCCGACGAGTACCCGAAAATATAGCATATTCACATGGAAGGGCCAGTACCATTACAAATAACCGCAACCATATCATGAAGGGATTCCGTATGAACACCAGGTGCGCCCGTTTCAGTAGTATCCATGCGTCCCGGAGCTGGTCTTTGACTGTTCGGTAGGATTTAGTTGTAGGCTTATTTTTGATCCCTTTCCCAACGCCGATAATAGTATCAGGTTTTGATAGTTTTATTGACTCTAATGTATGGTTTTGACTCTCATATATGGCTAATCTATCGATAGCCTTATGATGGAATTTAATAAATATTCAATTAATAATTATCTAGCTAAAGTTTAAATTGTAAATATTTACATCAGGTTCATGTGCGCCACTGGATATTTCCATTACAAAATCTGCCGGATTGTGAAATACCTGGTATTTAACAATATTAATTACAATATATTAAATTAACTTAATTTATATAATCTTTTAAACCAAAATTCATTATTACCGGACAATTAAAGCCAAAGTCTGACAAATGAGTGATTAATCGATCGGTGGGTCCACTATATATACACCGGCCGTCCATTGATAGCACGTAAATACTGTCAAAAAAGGCCAGTAGTCGGGCAGTGGGTTGATGTATAGACATCGCTATAACCAACGGTTCCTTATTATACGACAATGTCTTCAAAAGGGAAAGACACTGGAAACTGGAGGCCGAATCTAAACCAGTGGTCGGTTCGTCCAGTAGTAGTATATTCGGCGAGAATATCAACTCCAATGCTATGGACAGCCGTTTTTTCTGACCCCCACTGATAGCACCCGTTTTTACTCGAGCACATCCTAACAGCCCAAACACTGAAAGCATCTTATGGACATCGGATTGAGATTTGTTGTCAGTTAACGGTTCCATTAGTTCACAGTTAACTTGATTGTCAGCACCGGTATATAACCAAACCCTCGACAACCAACGTAACAATTGTAGCTTTTTCAGTATAACAAAATATACAAAAAAGAACTCAAGCCTCCGCATAAACTCCCGAAGGGCGTGGCAATCGAGTAAATGGTCACGTAGGGTCTGTCCGTTGTATGCGATCCTTAGTTTTATTTTTCTATATATTTGTGACTAAAATTAATTATTATCTAAATTTAGTTTTTGACTAAATATTAAATATTAGAAATATTTTTAAAACTCACTTATCGTTGGATGACTTAACCCATACCCGGCCACTAAGTCCGGCCACTCGTCTACCGGCCAAGCATTCAATGAGTGTAGTCTTGCCGGACCCGCTCGGCCCTAATATTCCGGTCAACTGTCCGCTCGTTATCTCTCCGTTCAAGTCATTGATAATAGTCTTGACATTAGTTTTGTTTCTTGAGATGAGTTTCTTATTATCACTCGTTTTATACGTCAATCCATTCCAATACAACTTCAGCCTATCATCGGTGGTGGGAATGGTATGTCTGATGGGAATCATTGTTATCATTTCATCACAACTAGTAGTGTTGTTGATAACCACCATTATTTAATCATTAAAATATTTAACTTTTTAAAATTCAATACTAGACAATAAATTTTATTCTAATATAGAAAACAATAAAAAAATTACATTATTTTATAAATTAGTATATTTTTGCAAAAATATCTAAATTGTAATATAAATAACATAGACTTTGGCACAGACAATTTTACTAATAACATAAAGTATTTGTGAGATAAACAACTGAATTACTGATTAGATTCAATACTATTTTTATTAATCATTTAGCCTTCATATGATTTATTTCAAAATTCAAAATTTTATTTATTTTTCTAAATTAGTTATAATATAATTCCCATATTTTGAGAATGTTTATGATATTAATGAAAACTAAGTTTATAATTCATTATTTGCTTAAATAACTTTTGGACTGTTGATTTATTTGCGTTAAAATTTATAATAAAATATTTTATTTATATGAATTTATTAATGATAATTACTTTCTAAGTATACTTTTTTATAAAATTGAAAATTAGTAATTAAGTAATTAATTAGCGCATTAAATATACAAATACAAATTTTTATTAAAAAGTTCAGAAATGAAAAATAAAACCAATAATAACACTTTGATGTGTTTTTTCAATAACTTATTTTTAATATTAGATAAATGGGTGGAAAGTATTCAAAATCATTAAAAAGACAAACTATATTAAATGGTCATTAACATTGTTATTAATAATAGTTAAAATTTAAATACAATGTAAAACAATAAATTACAAATTAATTACAAAATTTTTTAGAATATAATTTCTAAAAACTATTTAATCCTAGCCCTCCATTTAAGGGCATAATAGGCCAATGAATAAAATGTAATCATATTTACAATTAATAGACTGATATAAACGTAGAGATCTGTGTCCTTCAGGGCAAACCACTCCAACACTCGGGAGGGGTTTTGTTTGGCGACCAATCGGTTGAGAGCTGACAGGCTATTACGGGTCACATTCTCTAGACTATCGGCCCCTTCCAGACACTCCTCCATGTGATACATATTGATCCCAAACTCATGGGTCAGTGAATCCATAGTTAGGGGCTCCGTAATACCGGGGCATCGATTAAAACCGTACAGTATTATTACCATTGATTCGTATGCTAATCTGTAATCAAGAGTTTTAGTTTATGGCACTTGTTTTCAAATGATAAAATAGTTATAATAATTATATTCTATATTATAGAACTGTGCAGGTTACTTATTTATATAGTTCAATATATCTTATTAAAACCTACTAGTTAGCTAAAAGTCTTAAATAACTTATTAGTCATAGAATGTATAAATTAATATAAAATTAAATTATGAATACTCTGTGAATAAATTTCGTAATCTATCCAATATTTTATACATTAATCTGCATTATGATATTAAACATATTAATAAGTTACAATAATTTTACATTTATTTGAGTTGTATTACATTACATGTCCAATGTTCAGTTAGTCATGTTTATAACAACTAATAATTGTAATATAGGTAAGCCATAATATTATAATAAATTAAATATACCTGAAAAAAGACAAATATGAGAAAGTCTGCAAATATGAGGGCAGTACCCGGATGGGTATGAGTGCACCACTTAATAGCATTTGTGGCGCAATGAATATAGTGAATGACCAGAGACAGACCCGGATGTTATTCATGAATATGGCCGATACTAGTAGTCCCAGACTATGGGATACCAGTGCCAGGAGTATCATAATGAGNGGACAGTCTGGCGAATGTGACCCGTAATAGCCTGTCCGCTATTAACCGATTGGTGGCTAAACAGAACCCCTCGCGGATATTGGAGTGGTTCGGCCTACAGGACACGGATCTCTACATCTATATCAGTCTATTCATCGCATATACGGTCATTCTTAGATGGTTGGCATACTATGCACTCAAATGGAGGGCTAGCATTAAATAAGCATAAAATATGTCAACGAATTATTTAAAATGATAATTTATTTTCAAATTATTTATCATTTTATAAATAGTGTATCATGTATAATTCAAAATATTTTAAATAAATTTTTTAAAAATTTTATTCGTTTAGTTTTGTACCAGTAATTATAAAATGATTAATTAGTATATTTAATTTTTAACATTTTTACTTGGTTATAAAGTATCAAGTTAAAATTGTTAAAACTTTTAAACTGTTTAGCTTACCATCTACCGAAAAATATTTTAGTTTTTAATGTTTATAATAAATTATTAATTTAATCATATTTTTTAAATTACTAATAATGATTATGATTTGTAATTGCATTTAATTGCTCATTTTTTATTTATATAATATAAATAATTATTAAGGGTTTTGCATTTGATTTACATACATATCATTGATATGATATCAACCTAACACTATTTTATACAATTACGTTATAACTTAATTTAATTATTAATAAATATTTATTAGTATGCATGAATTATATACAATTAAATTTTTAGAAAACTAATTTAATATAAATGACACTGTTATATACATTTTTGTGATACAATATAAGTTATTCTTTAGCTGGATAATATATTTTTAATATTTATTTATTTATTAACTTTTTTGTTTTATATTGTTAACTAAATCCTTGAAACTTTATTGAATTATTGTTATTCGTGGAAATACTTCACAAAAGTACCGTCATATACTGTTATTTTAGTATTGTAACTTATACCTTAAATATAATAACAAAATAAAATTATTAAAATTTTAAACTATTGGGAAAAGTAACTGATTTATTTTATGGTAACTATAGATTGTTTATTTTAACCCAGGTATTTCACAATCCGGCAGATTACGTTATGGAAATATCTTGTGGTGTACAAGGGCCGGATGTAAAAGCATTAATATTACCTAGGAACCTACATTTTATAATAATTAATTTTTACAACTCATTTACAGGCAATCGATACCTTGGCATCACATGAGAGACAAACACTAAACACTAAGTTAGAGTCCATAAGAATCGCGAAAAACGAGTCCATTGTTGACAACAAGAGTGACACCAAAATTAATGCTAAACCCGAGTCAAAACAATCCTTGAATGACCAGATCCAGGATATATGGGTACTAACAAAACGGGCTCAGTTGGTGTCTATACGCAATCCCCATGTAATATGGTTACGATTTCTATTCATGATCATATCCCTGTTCACTAAACTAATGATGTACTCGGGCGTCAAAGTGGGACAGTGGGGTGGGGGTGAATGCGCGGACAGGGAGTCAGTGTTGGCCCGTTTGAGTGAATTTGGCAGCCGAGAGAGCACTGAGAGGTTCCGGGCTTTGCAACAAAATTGCTCATATATTTTGAGCAATATTTTGTTCATACATGCCGTCAATATCGGGCCCACACTCATGACATTCACCGTCGAGTTGAATATATTTGTCAAGGTATTTGAGATTATATTGTTTTACATTCATAATCATTAATTAGTGTTAATTAATAATTTTAACTTCCCAGGAGCATTTCAACAAATGGTATACGTGTTGGTCATACTTCACGGCCCGTTCCCTCGTAGACATACCAATCGTATTGATATTAACCATAATGTTCTCCACAATCATGTGGTGGATAACCGGTCAGGTATGGGATGGGTGGCGGTTCAGTGCACACCTCCTCATTATGATACTCCTGGCACTGGTATCCCATAGTCTGGGACTACTAGTATCGGCCATATTCATGAATAACATCCGGGTCTGTCTCTGGTCATTCACTATATTCATTGCGCCACAAATGCTATTAAGTGGTGCACTCATACCCATCCGGGTACTGCCCTCATATTTGCAGACTTTCTCATATTTGTCTTTTTTCAGGTATATTTAATTTATTATAATATTATGGCTTACCTATATTACAATTATTAGTTGTTATAAACATGACTAACTGAACATTGGACATGTAATGTAATACAACTCAAATAAATGTAAAATTATTGTAACTTATTAATATGTTTAATATCATAATGCAGATTAATGTATAAAATATTGGATAGATTACGAAATTTATTCACAGAGTATTCATAATTTAATTTTATATTAATTTATACATTCTATGACTAATAAGTTATTTAAGACTTTTAGCTAACTAGTAGGTTTTAATAAGATATATTGAACTATATAAATAAGTAACCTGCACAGTTCTATAATATAGAATATAATTATTATAACTATTTTATCATTTGAAAACAAGTGCCATAAACTAAAACTCTTGATTACAGA